TCCCCAGCCAGCCATGCTGGCTGGGGAATTCTGGGAGTTGAAGTCCACTCATCTTAAAGTCGCCAAGGTTGAGAAACACTGACTTAGGTGAACAAAGCAGGAGATCACTTCAGACGGCCGTTTCTAAAATAGCCAGAGCTGAACTCAGTTGCGTGTGACCTAGTGGCTAAGACATGCTTGTACGTTCATACGCCTCTCTCCAGGTGTGCCAACCGTAGCACAAGTTTAGTGCTTTTCTGGGACAGCACTACAAACATGTCAAAAAGGAAATCAACCATCATTCGACAGTCAGGCCCCCTTGAAAAGCACCTGTACAAAGCCAGAGCGAATTTTGACAGCCAGCTAAGCCCACAGGTCTAGCCACTGGCCAAAACTCACCTCCTTCCCAGCTGCACTGAACCATGGCATGAACCCACCTTGGCACCCTCTTTCTTCTGCCACGCCATTGCGGCCCTGCCGTTCTCACCCCTCCCATCCCCAAAGCAACTTTTAAGTTGTCCGGCCTTTAAAGTCGGGCTTTCCTCTTTAAGCTGCAGAAGTTCTCCTGGGCGTGCAATCTGACCTGCTTCACCAACTTTTGCACCCATGTTGTAGTAGTCAGGGGGTTGGAGAAGAGCGGGGCCTTTTGCCCGCTTCTGGCCAATGTGGCCAATTCACTTCTTTGCTCCCTGTGCATATTTTCCAGGATTATTCTGCCTGAAGCAACAGGAAATACTGTTTCTTTCCATTTGGGGTCTTCTCCCGAACAATAGCTGACCAGTAATGTGGGTGGGTGGGGGCTGCAAAGGGAAGCAGGAGAGGTCGCCATCTTTCTTTCTGCACGCTCACAGCACAACCCTCCCCGGGCCTACCGGCTGTTGCTCAAGCCGCTTTGGAAAATGGGTTTAGTGCTCTTCTGGAATGGCGCTAAATCCGTATCAAACAAGGGGTCTGTGATGGAATGGAATTATGAAGGCCAAACTCAGGGAGAAAAACGTTTCCTTTCATCTCCTGAGGCGCGAGGGAAAGATAAGAGGATGA